CTGTATACTGTTTTAGGTATATATGTTAATGTAAAGTTTTCTATTTTTATGATTCTCTGTATTTATTTGTGAAAAGAAAAATCAAAATCTTTGGAGTGGAAGGAGACCCACGTGGGCACAGGGAGAACATACAAACTCCACACAGACAGCACCGAAGGTAAAGCACAGGTAAACACCGAAAACGTTATTGCCAGGATTTTTATTTTCAATACATGTACACACTTACACATACGCTTACCTAACACTTGAGCCACCCACTCAACTGCAAATCGGACAACATGTTTGTCTATCTCTAGAGAGATCGTTGACTTATCTGGCCCAGAATCATGCACATTGAAGACCCTCTTTTGCTAATAAATCCTGAAGGATGCTAATATCCAGGGTACTGTGTAATTGCACAGTACTCTGATGAATTCCTACCAACTGAACGTTAGATCACGTTAGATCACGCCACGCTGCACTCAGGGCTGGGATTTTGGAAATCTTCAAGCGGGAGGCTTTCGGGGAAATGCTTCAAATTTAAATGATTCCCTTTTCTTTGGATAGCTAACCTTGGTGCAATTTGGGTTTTATTTAAGATCGACTGCTAGTTTTACCATTGCAGCTTTGCAATGAATGGTTACATGTTGCATTACAAATTGATCATGTTTGGTAGAAAAGCATTTTATTTACATAATTTTGTCATTCATAACTACCGAACACTACCGGTCACCTCAAACGACACCAAACGTTTATATTATGTGCCGTTCAGACTATTCTCGTGTAACCTGTGTAGCGTGTGTATAGTATTATCTACACTACACAGTATTATAGTATAGTATATGGATGAATGCATATTTCATATACAATGAAATCACCTTGAGTAAATGTTATCGCTAAATGTTGGACCTTTTTGTTCTCTATTAAATTTGATTAAAAATCTAACCTTCACGGATTTTATTTCGTTTGCTTTTGGCACCACCGCGCAGGCTATGCAGTTTCACGCCTGGGCGTTATCAGCCCACATGCGATTATTGGTACTACTCCCGTTTATGTGCGGCTTGAAACATGTTTTTTTTTTTCGGTGGCAGAAAATGAATCGCTTGCATGCACGGCCCCACAATGGCCTTCCCGGCCGCCCGCACAGAAGCGCGGGACGGGCAGAGCGGGGCGGGGGAAATATTTAAATAATACGTTTAATTCGCTCAAATCCACCAATGACACGTCGCGACGCAATCGATGGGGGTGGCCACATCGGCGTAGCCCCGCCCACCGCCCGCCATTTATACCAGCGTTCAAAGAAAGGCACTTCTCTGCGCTGGGAAGCTGTTGTCAGGGTAGGAGATACTTCAAACCTTCTGACGTAGACGGCGAAAAAAACAAAATGGAAAATCAGCTTTGCAAGCTCTTCGTCGGCGG